GGGCGGGGGGTAGGTGGTGGTGGTTATTGATCAGTCCAGGAAGGAATTCTCCAAATTCTCTATCGGGATTAATGAACTAAATGAGTACAAGTTGTTCATAGTGAAGGAAGAAAATGAGAGTAGAAAGACTTTCGTAAAACCGACTTTGTTGAAGTAGACCTTTTGACCTTTGACCTGTCGCAGTCTGACTTTAGCGATGACCCACAGCAGGGCTGCTCGTGGTCGATTGTACTCAGTCGGGTTCAAGAACAGTCGACAGATGTTGTTTGTTGCAGAGACGATTATCAGCGTACTGTAATTAGCTTTGGGAGATTACTAGCTGGTTCCCATTTCTGTGTAGTGACGTGAGAAACCACTGCCTGAATTGTTTATAACTTTTAATACAGTATAAATAAAATCAACTATTTTGATATTTGTTCACTAGTTGAAGAAGTCTTTCCTGACTGATTGTGATGTCTGTCCACACTGAGACGGTTCTGCTCGAGGTTTCTGCCTGTTAAAAGGAAGTTTTTCCTTGCCTGTGTCGCCTAGTGCTTGCTCATGGTGGGAATTGTTGGGATTCTGTAATTAACTTCAGAGTAGGGTGTGACCTGCTCTGTTTGGAAAGCGCTGTGAGACAACTGTTGTTGTGATGTGGCGCTATATAAATAAAAAAAAAAAAAAAAGACATTGATCAGAGACCCAGAAGAGCTGAAACCCATCATCCTGTGGGTCCTCTGCAGATAAGTGGGCCTCCAACACCAAACGGGGGAAATATTTAGCTAAAACCCCACATGGGTAGTTTAAACTCCCCTGAATGCATCCTATTCATCCCAGTCCAGAGCTTGGGCTTTCAGGTTTCTGTGGCTTTCTGTCACTAATGTGTTGTTTTTTTCTCTTTGGCCTATTTAAAAAAACCTTAGTGGGTTTATGTGATCGCATTACTCTGAAGTCACAGGGTGTGACAGCCTGTCATGTGAGCAGTTCAGGGTTGTTTGTCCTGCAGAATAAGCTGAGATCAGCAGCTGCCTCTCGTCCGGCTTCCTGCTCCGCATCCTGTTTCCACACATCTGGAAGCAGACACCCTGTCGGCTCCGTGTATGACTTTACCCACAAGAACATCACACGCTGATGCAAAAGCTTTCCACACTTTGCTTTTAAAAGAGGTTTTTTTATAGCCCGAGCTGCCCGACATGAACGAAAGCAGTGAATAACACAACATTTCTGAAGTGGAAAGCTGTAACTGAATCCAAATGAATCCCACATGCTGGCTGTGTTATGAGGGCAGAGTTAGGAATTCCTCCTGCTGCTGGCAAAAGGTTTTTCCCAGAGCCAACAGGTCCCAGGACTCCTGCTCCCAGGCCAGATGTGCCCTAAATCTGTCCCTGGAAAACTGCCTTCAAATGAAAACCCTCCTATGCATGTGATTATTCAGTCTGTTATATTATTTGTTTGATCCATTTAAAATTTTATTTATTTATTTATTTGTTTTTACTTAACTCGTGTTTTCATCTTTTTAATTTCACCTCAAATTCAAATACGAAAAACTAAAAGGCAACAAAAACATTCAGTGTTTTGAAGGAGCTGCGAATTCTGTCACGTTATGACGTCACATTATGCGACGGCGGAGAGCGGTAGGACCCCGGAAAGCCGTCAGAGGAGGAACTGGAGCCGGACACGCGTGGTGTTGTTGTTGTCGGAAAAAAGAGAAAAACAGGTTAACATCTGTAACACAACTGGTGTTCTCACCACGCTTCAGACTCTAAAAAATTGTTTTTTTAATTTTCCGCTTCATATTTAGGAAAAGCGGCGGTTCGAGCCAACCCCGGGAAGCCTGATCAGAAAGCAGGATAGCTCAGATGTCGTGTTTCAGAGGGGATCCAAACTTCTGCCCGGAGTGTGGGAACGTCCTCCCGCTGCCCGGGGTTTCGGACACGGTCCGGTGCCCCCGGTGCTCCTTCCGCATCCCGGTGACAGGTGCTCCGGCCGGGGAACGCTTTCCTCATATCTAGGGATGGGGATCGTTAATATTTATCGAAATCGATACCTTTATCGATACTCCTTATTGATCCGAGTCTTTATGGATACCACTATCGATACTTTTCTGTTATTTGGTGGAAAGACGATGCGACAATATTTAGCAAATAAATAATTGTATTTTAAATTAAAATAAATTTTTAATAAATGTTGGCATCAGTAGTTTAATTATATATTCTAAAATAATTAGAGCAATATACAACTGTATTACTCATGTTTCTCGCCAAAAACTCAATTTCCCTTTTCTTTACGTTACACTTGAACGCATCATGATAACCTAATTGTCGTTTTACTGAGCCAATCTGAACACATCTGAAACTTTATTTACTTTTCAAGCTAACTAGCTTCTATGCTACCGATTACAACACGGATTAAACAATTGTAATAATAAAAAAACGACCAGACTCGATAGTGGTATCGATAAGCCCAAACGGTATTGATTTTTTGGGGTTTTGAAAAAAGTGGAACCGGGTCCTTGATAGAACCGGATTTCGATCCCCATCCCTACTCATAACAGACTAAAGTTGTGCTTGTTTTTCCAGAGTTTTCTGGCCAGGAGGTCCGGTCAGTGGTTGTTTTTAACCCCGCGGAGGAGTCCCAGGTGTCCCTCCGGGATGAGGAGGGCTCGGAGCTGAAGGGGCCCGTGGTAAGACCCACCTCTTTTCTTCTTCTTCTTCTTGATTTTATTGGCGGTTTGCAACAAACTTTAAGCAGCATTACCGCCACCTGCTGGTATGGAGTGTGGTTCGATATGGACTATCAACTTATATAAGTATTTGTATCTTCCTACTCCTACTCTTAATATATAATTTAACTAAATTAATTTCCTATTTATGTATACCTACATATTCTCATCCATTTTTATATATATCTTTATAATCCACCCCCCTAGATCATGCACCCATTCACACACAAACACCTATTTTAATCATATTCGACCCACCTCTTTTCTTTGGGCTTTTGGCTTTTGACACCATGGAGAGTGTTGATTTTATGTATACTCATGCATATTTTTAGCAGAATTTCTACTGTGTTTTTTATTTTTCTGGATATGTTTTTGTGCAGCACTTTGGAAAACCCCGTGTTTGTTTAAATTGTGCAATATCCTCCTGAGACCCAAAGAAAAAAAGTGTCTTCAAATTTATTTTTGTTGTGATTTTCCATGTATTTGGACCCAAAAAAGAACATTACAATTTAAATTAAAAAAAAAAAAATTTTAATTTTAATTTCATAGCATGTCCACTGTGGAGGACAACAGGACGATTTGCATGGGAAAATAAAACAGGCTTTAGATAATTAAATAATAAAAAAGAAGATGTCTTGAAAGGGATATTTACCTAAAAACTCTTAGGAAAAAAGTAAAGTTCTCAGCATGCAAACCTATCACATGGCACATCACTGGAAAGCCCAGGATGTCCTCTACAGAACACTATAGGGCTTGATAGGGTAACTCCAGATACTTAGGGGGGGTACAGGTGGACAAAATGTCCACTAGAATGGACATAAATGAATGGGCCGGGTCTCAGGAGGATATAAAATAAAGGGGGATTGGATTGGAAGAGGCCGTCTGCTGCCTGAGCTGGATACTCTCCTTAGTTATGGCCAAATTAAGCTCCATAAAGCATTAAAGCGTTCAATCCAATTGGTTCATGCATGTGTTGAAGCTTCACGGGGCTTCATTTTGCCTCTATTGTGCCATAAAGTGGACAATAAATGTAATCCGTACAGCGTGATTATAATGAGACTCTGGCTTTGGTGTCTGACGCATTAAATTAATTAATCAATTATGTTTGTGATGCTGCCTTCCAGGGGGACCCAGCCTCTCCCCATTGGTTTCTGGGATAGGCTCCAGTCCCCATTAGGGGATCAGCGTGTTAGTTTGGTTCTTTAGTTGGAAGCCTGAGAATAAACCAGAGCAGATCAAGAGTACAAATCTGACATTTATTGGTCACAAGCAGAGTAAAGCAGCTGGGCTCTCACAGACAAAGCTCCCGGAGGATCTCAGTCTGGAAGAGCCTGGATTTCCGGGTGTGATGGTCAGTTTTCCTCTGGGCCTCCAACAGGAGGACGAGTGTTATTGGCCAGTTAGCTCTGACAGGAACAGGCCAGGTCCTAATTCATGCAGGTTTAGGTGGAATGTGATAAGAAAGTGTGGATGTTGAGCTTGAAGACGAGTATCTACTGTAACAGAGAGAGGAGGAGGAGTAGAGAGTTTAACCCAAAAGTATAATTATAAAGGGAATAATATGAATCTAAAAGGAATAAGACAATCAGTCATTTACATGGATTAAGTTGTAGCATACTATGCTAAAGTGAGTAATTATAGCCCAATTCTAATAAGCGGTTACCATAATGGACCATAATGTCTTGATGAAACAATGACAGAGAAGCTTTAATAGATCGCTAACAAACTCGTAATTAACTCATTGACTTTGAGCATTTTGACTGATTTTATCAAGAGCCACAGAATAGTTTGTGCTATGACTATGTAAACACCGAACACACCAAAAGAAAGAGTAGACTCTCTTCTTTCATCAGGAAAATTTTTTTTGTTTCTACCTTATTCCGTTCTTCCTGGACTTGCGTCTCACCGGCGACATGTTCTCTCATAGCGAACCGTTAGCTTTTTCTTATTTGCCTACAGTTTATGCTCATCTCCCATCAAAAGTGGCACTGCCCCCTAGAGGGTCAATTTGTTACTACATACTCTGTCTAGAAGCCGATATTTACGGACAAGCTTTAGCAGATCGTCCCCCAGACACTCGCGTTGAAAAACATAAAAGACGTCTATGGCCCTTATATTTAAAATAGACGGCCAAACTGCGAACCACTTCCTGAATCAGTCACGTGGTCCGGCTGGTTTGCGAGGCTTCAAACGTGACGACATATGTAATCGACACCAACTTGGATATGGAGGGACTCATCACCAGTTCTCCTTCTCCCTCCAGATCGACCGGCGCTGCTCCCGCTGTAACAAAGAGGGGATGATCTACCACACCAGGCAGATGCGATCCGCCGACGAGGGCCAGACCGTCTTCTTCACCTGCACGCACTGCAGGTGGCTGCCGTTATCCCGGGGGGCTGGGGGGGGGGGGTCCGGGGTTCCGGGTCCTGACTCTGTTTGTGCTCCTGCAGGTTCCAGGAGAAAGAAGACTCCTGAAGGACCCGCCGGGCTCCAGGAGGAAGGCCATTCTGCTCCGGGTGGATATGTTCAGAGGCTGCTGGTTAAAATGGATGTCCACCTCAGTCCAGCCTGTTTATGGATGTGTGGGAGCCCTCAGTGGGACGTCCACAGGGTCCTAAAACACACAGTGATGAGTAAAGTGAGCTGTAGAAATGCTGCTGTGTTTCATGTCAGATATAAAACAGCTAAAACACACTTGATTAGAATGAAAGCTTACAAATATTAAGTTCTGCTCAAGCCTGAATGGATTTGATTCAGATGTGTGAGTGATGGGAAACATCTAAAACTTTAAGGGCTGTGTGGGATGAAGCATCACTCTTTAAATGTAAGTGCTTGAATTGGGAATGTGTGTCAAAAGAAAGACATGTATACATTGAAAAAAGCCTGTTTTTTTTCACTTGCTTATAATTATTATTTGATAATGCCTGTCATTCATTAAATTCCATTTGTTTTTGCTGGAGAGCATATAAATCTACAAATAACTGGTGTCTTTATTGTTGTTTAGAGGCTGGATGGAGGCAGTTTCGTGCCATCTCACCAAATGGTTTTATATGTACTTATGTGGAAGTTCATGCTGCACTCAGACACTGTTTGGGGAACAGAATTTACCTCCATCTAGTGCAGCAAATAGAGGCGGTACTCGCGCTCTTTCTACTCTAATCCAACGCATTTTCTTTGTTATATATATCTTTTATCGCTTCAAATAAGCTCACAAACTACCTTGTCGGCCGCGTTTGTTTACTCTAAATTCATAAACAGTGCGTTTTTACAAATTTCTCTATCTGGAATCTGAATGTCGGTTCGGGTGTGGTTGTGTTGCTCCTGACTCGTACCACACTGCATGATCGAAACTGTTATATACTTAATATTTTTTGTTGTTTATTTTAGCGGTTGGTGTGTGGTCTCTCAGGTTTTGAAAATCAGCCGACAACTCTAAAATTGTGCCATGTGAACACGGCACGATTTTTTAATTAGAAATAGATTAACATGAATATATTTCAAATAGACTCACAAGCTCTCTCTTGCTGACCACTGCCCTGACGCTCAAACGCTGTAACGTTTAGACATCCCTTCAAAATAAAATACAGATATGTCGCAAAAATGAGTATAAAGAACATTTTTATTTTTAAGAACATTTTAACTCATGACAACGACACATTAATGAGAGCCCTGAGGTTGTTTCTCTCCAAGTAGACGGTCCCATCTGGGATTGATGGGGGATAGCGACACTCGAAGTGTGTTGCTTATGTCCAGCCTATTCCGTTGTTTTGTTTTGGTCACTGCAGAAAGCCCCGCTTCACATAGATATGATGTCGGAAATAGCAACAGGGTTTTCAGTGCTGTGGTGGCGATGTCAGGGTATTCTGCCCTGACTTTAATCCAGAACACGGGCAGAATTGCTGTCTCAAACATATTTTTAAGGCCGCCGTCATTTGCGATCTCCACTAGCTGATCTTCTTCTTGCACAGACATGCTACATTGACCTGGTTTGTTAAGAAATGGGTCGCGGATCCATTCCTTGCCAGTTCGTGGGTCTTTTGTGGTTGGGAAGTAGCGTTCAAACTCCTTTAAAAGCAAAGAGAGGTGATCCTGCACCAGCTGAGAAAATGAAGGCTCAGGCTCATTCTCACCCAAAATCCCCGCTAGCGTTTGAAACATGTCCAATATGCCTTTGTTCACGCGCCGTCCCCACAAATCCAATTTGGCTTTAAATGCAGCTACTTTATCTGCCAACTTGAAGACAGTTGTCATCTTTCCTTGAAGTGACAGATTGAGTTCATTGAGCAGGTTGAATATGTCGCACAGATAAGCCAATTTCGCGACCCATTCTTTATCACTGAAATGTGCTGCCAGCGGCGACTTCTTTTCTGAGAGAAATCTCTGCAGCGTTTCTCGTAATTCAAACACTCTGGCCAGCGATTTTCCTCGGGACAACCATCTTATTTCAGTGTATAAGAGGAGGCGCCTGTGCCCGGCGTCCATCTCCTCACAAAGTTGCTCAAAGAGGCGAGAGTTAAGGGCTTGTGCTTTGACATTGTTAATGACTTTAACAACATCATTCAATACGCCGTTCAGTTCTGGCGGCATTTTTCGGCTTGCCAGCATTTCCCTGTGAATGATACAATGCGTAGATTCACATTCAGGTGCAACTTCCTTAATCCGAGCAGTTAAACCAGACAGCCGTCCGGTCATAGCAGCAGCTCCGTCTGTGCATATGCCCACACAAGAGGACCATTTCAGTTTTTTTGATATATAACCATCCAGCGACTTGAAAAGTTCTGCGGCGGTGGTGTTGGTTGGCAACAATAATGCACATAACATATCCTCATGCACCTCCTCCTGATAAATATATCGCACATACACAAGTAGTATTGCCTTGTTGTCAACATCTGTAGATTCGTCTACCTGGAGGGCGTACCACGGTGATTTATTAATCCTCTCCAACAGTTGGCTCTCAATGTCTTCAGCTATTTCTTCAATGCGCCGAGTCACGGTGCTAGCCGACAGAGGCCCCTGCTCGATCTTTTTAACAGCAGCCTCTCCTAGTAGTTCAAGGCAAATGTCTTTAGCGGAGGGCAAAATCAATTCTTCACCAATAGTAAATGGCTTTTTGGCCTTAGCAATACGATGAGCGACCAAGTACGATGCTTTCAGGGCATTTGCATTTACTGTTGTGGTGGCCCTCAGTAATTTCTTCTGTCCATCGTGTTCTTGTTTTCTTCTTTCAAAATACTCCAGCGGCTTGTCTTTTAATCCGGGATGTTTTGATTCTAAGTGCCGAAGCAATTCTGACGGCTTCATTGCCTCATTAGCAAGCCGGTCACCACATATGACACAGAGCGGGCTTGGAACATGACAATCACCTACCGGGATAAATCCATATTTCAAGTAGGACTCCTGGTATTGTCTGTTAAATGTTTTTTTTCTTTTCTTGCAAGTGGGCTCTTCTGCCTCTTCACTGACCACTTTCCCCTTTGTAAAAAAACTTTCCAAAGATAGCTGTTTGTTACTCATTTTGCCTGTTACTTACTCCCTGTTGGCGCGCAAGACAAC